GCTGAGAATGAAACCCTGGTGGGAGAATCCATGTATTGTTTATTTCTTACTTTTCTACAAGACTTTCCATTTTCTAATCAGTGAGGGAGGCCCTGAGGCGGGTAGTTTGGCAGGCAGATGCCTGTCCCCACCACTAGCTTGCACAAAGTCAGGGATGATGCGGTCAGAGGGAGAAATCTTCACCTGCAGAAGAGGAGGCACAGCAGGAGGTACTGAGGCTGGTGCAGAAGATGGAAACAGCTCCAAGTTCGATTTGTTAGGGTGTCTTTTGAGAAGAAGAAGAGGAGGAAAGAAGAGAAGGAGGAGAAGAAGGAGGAGTAGGGGAGGAGGAAGGAAAGAGGAAGAGAGGGAGGGAGAGGCTTGTGACTATAAAAAGTGACCAGCAGAGCGAGCCCGGGAATCAGACCGGAGTGTTCACCTTCACTTTCCCAGCTTTGGGTGCTGCCTTCCATATGGAGAGAAGAGACAATGTGCAACAGACTAGAGGACGCCTGAGAGGTTTTGTCATGATGGGGGTGGTAAAGTCAGAAATATATACGTGCTTTACCCATTAATAGACAGTCCACAGGTTGTACGTCCCTCTAGAAAGTACTTGGACATATCAATCGATGGTCCAGGTGCATGGCACTGAAGCCTTTCTGAAGATTCTGTAAAGATGTGAATCTGTCTACAAGCCAGAGAATCTTGTGACACCTATCAGAAATGTGTCTGTACAGGTGACACAAATGGCCTTCACGTATATTTTTAGAATGAATAAACCATTGGTCTCAGTTCCTGTTTAACATTATTTTTATAGACAAAATCTGGCTCAGGAATAAATTCTCTCCTATTTCATTCAACAGATGTTCATAGAATTAAGGGTACAGAAGTCAAGTTCTACAAGTCAATGAGCCTTTACTTCACGTATGTCAAGCTTTACTAATAAGCAGAATAAATGCAGAAGAGTTAGCGAGGCATGTCATCATGTGACTATTGGGATAAGCAGAAAGGTGGGATGAATGAGACAGGCCTCTGTCAAAAGGTAGGCAAGCTGCAGGTATTGTCTGCATGGATAGTGATGAAAGAGTGGCTACTATTTTGGGGGTACTTTCTTTAGTAATGTGAAAGAGTTTACCTATTGAAGAGATTGGGAATTGCTCGTCATTTCTCAAGGATCTGCGTGCTTGATCAATTGCTAGGACTGGTTCCAATGGCCAGACAAAGTAGCGACCTTTTTAAAATAGTCAATAAATTTTATTTATCTGCTCCTCAAAGGTGACATTGCCAACAGTCCCAGATTCACATACAGTACAGTCTGTATTTACTATGTACAATTTACGGTAGTATTTTTTCCTCTGAAAAATGTAAGTACAGAAGTTAAGTAAACAATGAGGTACTGCTATTTCTTCAGTTTTCTTTTGGGAAGAATTTCATGTCATTTGAAAGCTATTCTGAATAACAACTTGATTTACGGGCTCAATTAATGTTCCTTTCATTCTTGTTGTCCCTCTTTTGAAAGATTTGCTCACCTTATTTATTTTTAGGGTGATTTTTTTTCTCTTTTTTCAAAGATCTGTGCAACACATTTGAGGTGAAACTGGATTTTTTCTAATAAAGTACAGCATTTGATTGACTATTACTTGCATTGTCTCTTGAATATTTGCTAAAGACTAGTTCTTTGAGCTGTGACATATGATAAACTCCAAACAGTAGCCCCCTTTTCAAAGATGCTTTAATTTCCTAAGAAACCTTTGCTCTGTTGCGATCAGAACTTACCCTATGGTTTTAGCCACCATTATTCTTTTGGAAAATATACTTCTGTCTTGGAAAGTTGCCCTGTATGGGGCTGGGGATTTAGCTCAGCGGCAAAGCGCCTGCCTGGCAAGCGCAAGGTCGTGAATTCGGTTCCCGGTACCAGAGAAAAACCAAAAAAAAAAAAAAAAAAAGAAAAAAAAGAAAGTTGCCCTGTAATATATCAATATATAAAAGTCTGCCTACATAAGCCATCTAATAATGTATGTCCATATATTATATAAAGTTTCTAATAATTCCTCTATAAAGAAAAGGTTTGGGGTAAATAAGAAAGTTTTTCAACAAGTTGTTTTGAACTCTGGCCTTATCCATAAATAGTTCTTTTTGTTTGATTCAGGTTCTCTTTCCAATCTGTGTGTCCTTCCTCTTGTGTTCCATACCTGGTGTATTTTTTTCTGTTTCCCTCCTGACTTGATAGCCATCACTTCCTTAAAAGAGAGGCTCCAGACCTGCTGTCCTAGTGGCTTTTCCCGACTGCTCCTTTGAGTGCCCCTCACTTCAATTTTATTCCAATTCTTATAAACACACTCATGTGTACTTAAGTGCATTGTAAATATTTTCTTTTAATTTCAGGTGTGTGGGTTTTATATTCCATAAGCACATAATAAAATACTTATTAGAGTCACACTTACTGAAAAATATTATTCTTGAAAACCTCTAGAATGTGGGCTTTATGGAGGCAGGGATCTTTTTTTGTGTACTGATGATCTGGAATTCCTAGGATTTAGCTAGGATTATTGTACTGCTAATATCTGTTAGCTTATTGAAAGGAACTGTTAATGTGTAATTGATCAGTCTTACATGCCTGTATCTGGTTATCTGTGCAACCATTTTGAAGACAACATTATGTAATAAACAAGCGTTGTTAGTTTCCTATAGTTTTGTTTTGAAATTCTGTATCATTTCTATTGTTTTCCATGTTACGTTTATGTATTTGTTTTTGTTATTTTGGTTTTTTTCTTTTCTCTTTAAAATGAAAAACAAAATTTATTTGTATATACAAGGATAGCTGGGATAGGTGTATTGCTGATGTCTGTGGTTTATTAAAAGGAAGAATCAGTGCTTAAAATTTTCTTATTTCTTGACCAATTTTGCATGCTTATATCTGGTAATCAGAACGACGGATCTGAAAACAACAATATGCAGTATAAGAACCATTGTTGAACTCCTACCATCTTGTATGGGGAAGCTCTGCATCATTTCCAATGTTTTTGTTTTTATTGCTTGTTACTGTCTTTGATTTTTGATCAATCTTACATTCATACATCTGGTGGACTGAGCAACTTCTTTGAAGACAACAGTATGTAATGTAGCAACCATTGTTAATTCTTATCATTTTGTTTTGAGGTTGTGTATTATTTTTGTGTTTTGATTTTTGTCTTCATTGTTGTTTTGTTAGTTTTTTTGTCTTTAAAATTAAAAAAGTGAATCAGAATTCCTGGGATATAGTAAGTGCTCAATAAATATTGGTTGAATAAATGCCTATACAAAGTCCAATGATGCTGCTAATTTTAATTGTTCTCAAAGCTTATCCCCCAGTAAAATATCTTGGGGCTGTAAAAATCTCAGGTAACCTTTAGATACTTTATCTTCCCATTCATTTGATGAAATAGTAACAATCAGGTAAACAAGTGCTTGGGAAGTTCCCTGCTCTTTATCCAGCACCTTCATGGAAAAATCCTCCAAACTAATATTCTATGCACAGAACTCTCCATTCTTCAACTGACATGCTGGGAGTCAGAGAGGAGTAGCTTTCATTTCTGACCTGCATTAAGGTGATCGGCAGCCACCGGCACTGCTACACATTCTAAGTCACAGTTTTGAAATGAAATCATGGACTGCATGGCCAGCCCTTATTATCTGAAAAACTATGGACCAAACTTGGCTTTTATTGTGGTGGGGTGCTTTTGAAAGGAGGACAAGCACAGATGAATCCTCGTGGTTCAAAGAAATTGCAAAATTATGGCCTGTAAAATAACATTTTTTTTTTCCCATGCAGATGCAAAAGCCTCGAAAGGTAGAAGACAGTATTTGCTGAGCATGCAACTCCTTTGGAAATATTTGGTCCCCAAATGGCTGAGAATTAACACCTGTAAAATTCCTCCTTCCTTCAATCCCCATAACTAATTTCTCAACTTATTATTGTATTTGAATTAACTGAAATCAACCACCAGGGCAACTGCTTGTCAGGAATTCTCTGTCTATCTGAGAAGGAAAGTATTAAGTTAGTCAGGTGACAGGAAGGAATGGGAGCAGCACACCGTAGACCCAGTTGCCTGAAGTCTATAAAACATGTCAGTTACTTAGGGGATTCTCAGCCAAGACAGGAGAGGGGCAGAGGGGGAAGTCTTCGGGTTGCATTTCTGGGCGGAGTCCCTCTACCCTAAACCCAACACTCTGAGAACTGAAACTTGGCCCCTTTGCAAGATTAGGCTTCCCAAATTAGCTGTCTTTGGTGACAGAAAAAATACCCGCCTGTCCCCTTAAGCAAGACTCTCCACCTGAGTGAGAAAGGAGAGGTACAGCCCAAGCCCAGAACAGGTGTTTAACGGGGAAGTCGAAAGGCAGCAGGCCGCCACATGCAGAAACCTTGAGTTCATTGCTGTAGGGATTTGGCTGCATGAGAAGCTGTTATTACTGTTGAGTAAAATTAAAGGCAGATTCTGTCATACTGGCACAGGGGCATATTTGCTGGCTCGCTTGGAAATCCTAAGTTTTGCTGCATTTTTAGAACGTGGGCATCTTTTATTGCCATCAAAACCTGGGGTGTGAAGTGATGTTTAAGTTTCAGGTTGTCAAGATGTTTCCAGAGGTATTGTTGTTATTCTTACCTTTTAAAAATATGTGCTTAAATATAAACTCTATTAGTGCTGTTCTAAGTGATCTGTACAACACTGGAGACAGCCTCCCAGTTAGGGTCCTATTTTATGCGCAAAGTTCCTCTATGATGTGAGCGGGTGAGGATCATTATGATCTTCTGTTTTTTAAAAGAGAAAGTTGAGTCATCATGGAAGAATGATATTCTGTTTCTTTTGCTGAAAGCTTTGTCCCAGAAAATACATACTGTACCTTTAAAAAGGTAGTCTTTGTCCAAAACCAACTTAGAAAATAACAGCATACAGGTTGTGAGGTTTCTGCCACTTCGGTCTAATGGTTCCCCATGATATTAATTCTCGCTCCCCCTTTGTTGTTTTCCTGTGTGCATTTAGGACAACGTGAATGCACCTGTTAGTGGGTGTGACTGTTTATTCACGGAGCCCCTGGGTCCTGGACTGTCAGCTCCACGGTGCAGGTGGGTGTGAGTTTCCCATATTCCTGCACCCAGTATCACTGCCTGGCACATTTGGGGAGATTGATGTGTTTCTATTCTAGGAATAAATACTTAAAGAGTAAACATAAGCAATATATTCCTATTTGAAGCCTGTAGAGTAGTAGATTAGGCCCACACCCAGGTCCTCCCATGTTGACAGTGCTTCCTTGGCAAAGCCACTTAGCCACTTTGGGCCATCGTTCTAGATCTCAAATCAGAGAAAGCAGCTCCTCAGCCCTAAAAACCTGTGGGATTTTTGTTTCTGTCCTTTATGTCTTGCTTTGAGAATGTTACGCATCCTTTGCAGGAAAAGATTCTCTACATTTTTAATATTTGTACAGTTTCACTGTTTTAGTAAAAGTTCTGCCTTCTGAGGAAAAAAATCTATATTTCTTTCTGTAGGAAACCTACACAAGCCTAGCTGTATGGACCATGAGGCTGTAACACAGGTGCAGGAGTTTGCCCTTGTGGTTTCTTATCTTTTTTTTTTTTTTTTTTTTTAACCGGTACCAGGAATCGAACTCACGACCTTGCGCTTGTCAGGGAGGCGTTTCATCACTGAGCTAAATCCCCAGCCCCCGTGGTTTCTTATCTTAAACACAAAATACATACATGGGACAGAAGAGCCTGACAGACCCAGCAGTGAGAGAAATTTCCTTTGTCCATAGACATGTCATGGGTCGATCTCCTCATCCAAATCCACTGCTTTTCTTGTTGGCCCATAATAAGATGCCCTACTTCCAAATGCATGGGGAAGAGTTAATGTGTGTTCTGAAACGTTCAGTTGTTATTAGTGACAGCTTTGCTTTAGCCCTTCTTAGGAGAAGTAATTCTGGATGCTTTGATACAACAGGGTATCAGGTGTTGGTGGCTAGAATGGGTTGGGTCTGGGAAACTGGCCAAGAATCTGGAAAGGACCATAGGTCAACTAGGCCATAGGTGGAGTCCAACCAAGAAAGGCAACGACAGAATAGTGTGCACATTGTGGGTTGGTTAGGCAGAAGGCTGCTACTCCATTTGTTTCCCTAAGTACTTGCCAAGTAGAATTCAGGTCTTTGTGGCCTTTACAACAAACTTACATCTGTTTATATGGTTGTGTTGTAATGACTTACATCCTTGTTATCTCTTCTAGTAGTCAGGATCTGTGAACACAGGGACTGGTTCCTCTGTGTGCCCCTTTAGCCATTGCCTTAGTCTGGCCTGGCACATCACGGGTCACTCTCTACATGATTAGATGAGCACTAATGGTTATTATTGTAAGAATAATGCAAACCATCACCGCTTTTGTCATGAATTCTAAATCGCACCCCAAATAACCAATGTACGGAAACTACTCAGGGAAAATGGGATATTGTTCATGAGATATTTTTTAATCTTACTAAAAATGTACTTACTTTTATTGGAAGTAAGGAAGGACTGATAGTTCTCCTTTTCAATAATGTGTTCATAGGGGGATTTTCAGAGATATGTACTGGAACTGACTTAGGTCAGTCTGAAAACTTAAACTCTCTACTGTGTACTTTTCTGAAATCCAAGATGCAGGCATATTCTGTTTCTTGGCATGTGGGTAATGCAAAGGATCTCGTCATGCGTTCTTACAAAGTACTATCCTGCAACCTACGAATCTAGCCATCTCTTGTTGCTCTTCATTTTTATAGTTTTGTTATATGCACCAAAATTATTTCCAGTACAGTGCCAACCCTCTCAGGGGTCCCTGTGTTTAAAATAAAAGGGACTGGAAGCAAGTTTAACATCTTTCTCCTCAAAAGGGCATAAATTCTTAAAATAACAAAACTGTATGATCCTTAGGAATACATCTTAGTAGTTCAGTAGGGGCCTTTTTTTTTTTTTCCTTTTTCTGTTTATAAAATCATTTGTATGGATACTTCCCTAACAAACATTTTATATGTGCCTTTGGATTTTTTTCCCCTCAAGAAATTCTGCACATAGGGACACTACTGTGCAAGGTAAATAATGACACAATTTTGGCCTTTATGATTCCAAACACCAGTAATGCCCTTTCCTGGGCCTTTTCACGATTTGTCTAATCCTCTGTCGCCCTTACCATCTTAGGCTAGTTGCTGCTCGTGTCCGCAAGAGATGAGCAGAAACACCATTATAGGATTCCCTAACAAAAGACTTTCGCGATCATTTTCTAGCATCTTGGAGATTGACAAGGTCCCCTCCTGTTTCCCAAGCCCATTCCCCCCCTTATTCCTGGTGATTTCTTTTCTTATACACCAGAAAGAAAGCACCTCGCTGAGTGGTGACCTCTCTCGCTACATGGATACCTACTAGAAACAACAAACCTCACGTGTTAAAACCGCCCCTTGATGTGTTGGGATTGGTGTGGTGGTTCCTGTTTGATATACTGGGCTGCTTGGAGCTGCCTTTAAAAAATCAATCCATATTAAAAATAAAAGTTCCTTTTGAAAATTACTCTTCATATTTCTTTTGGGGGGATTGTGCCATAAACCAGCTAAAAGTGCTGAAAAGTGTCACATAATGAAACCACCAGGACTCTAACAGGCGAAAAGGTCTTGAGTAATTACAATACTTTTCACTTTCCAATTGATGTTCACATTACCTGTAACATCTATTCTATTTTTTATTGAGAGGACTGCAAACTTTTAGAAGATTTTCAAGGTGTCAATTTTAACCTTTTATGCAGTTTCTTTCAAATTGATAAATATATATTTTTTCTGTTTTCGAACTGTGTAGAAAATAATTACCTATATATTTACGAGAGGGAATAGCTGTTCATTCACTGTTAATGACAATTGCCCTGAAATGTTATCCTCTATCCTTTTGCCAGATTTTCTATTTCTTTTTGTGTATATGATAGATCATGAATACCAATGAATAACTTTAAAAAAGAGTAGTTGTTAGAAAAGCAATACAACAAGAAAAATTTTTGCAAATAATCTGCACCGTTTTTGACTGAAGAGAGTCCCTTGTTACATGTGTTTCATGAGTACAGTTTTTTGTCATCCGTATATAGGCACATGCATGTTTACCTGCAGAATCTACATATGTGTACGTGCACTGTTCAATTTTTTAAAAATATATTTGGTAAGGTACCTACTCATGTGAAGAACATTATCAAGTGCAGTTTTTGAAATGCTAGGTTCAAACACGAGCATGCCAGGTGCGGCGGCTCCTGCCGCATTGATGAGGTGGCCCCGGCATGCAGCCAAGAGGGAAGGGTAACTAATGGCGAGCAGCTGTGTTGGTTTAATGGCCTGCAAAAGGATCAAACTTGAGCAAGGTTGTTGCAATGTTCTAACCACAGATAAGAGCTTGGTTGGCTTTTCTTTCACAACTCAGGTAATACATGAGAACAGGAACACCACTCCTCATGTAGACTCAAGGATTAAGAGAAATTGAGGGTAGGATTTGAAGAGTGTAGAAAAGCATATGTTCAGCCTTTACTTGGATGAAGGAATGTTCCTATCAGCCAAAAGAATCAAGTTAAAACAGAAAAACAAATCAGAAAAAATTTAGTAAAGATTATTTACAAAAATTCTCCTTGCTGTATTGCTTTTCTAGCAACTACTGTTTTTTAAAGTTACTCATTGGCACTTGTGATTTGTCATGTACACAAAAGTAAACAGAAAATCTGGCAAAGAGATAGAGGATAATTGCATAGAAATGGGCTGATTGTTTCTCCAGTTTCTGTCTGCATTTAGGTGGTACGCAAGTCTCAACTTCTCTAACCGGCTCCAGGCCCTTCCCAAGCCAAAGTCCATGTCCTGGCTCAGCTCTTTGAGTTCCTTGCTCTGATTCAATTAGGTCAAACGCCAAGCTGCCAAACTGCATTCATTCTGCATCTTGGGGAGTACCTTGCTGCATCCAAATGCCATGATCTTTGCAATGAGAACTTTCCAGGCAAGAGATAGTGGTGCAAGGTGCCTGGGCTCATTTAGTTGGACCCGGGCTGGAATGTGGGACCATCTATTTGTTTGCTATAGGGCACTGAGGCTGTTTGATTCCTTTGAACCTAGGATAATGGTGCTTGCTTCTGTTTTAGTAATTAAAAACTGTACTGGCAGTAGCTGTCAAGTACTGAGAGTTCGTTACACATGAATACTCGAAGCTTTATCATAATCAAGGGTAAGTATTTTAATGTCCATTTTTCAGACAAGTAAAATAAGATTAGAGAGAAAGAAAAGAAAATTACCTTAGCTCACAGAGCTAGGGCAGATAGGATTCAAATCCAAAGGGGTTTTGTTTCTTTTAATAATTTCACAGCCAAAATATTTTTGCCCACTGTCATTGTTTCTCTACTTTACAGAATTATGGTGAAGATTATAAATGATGATGTAAAACACTTAGAGCATTGTAGGCATTTAGTAAAGCTTTTATTATTTATTTATCTCCTCTTGGTTATCTTTCCATACTCATTTTTCTGTAATATATATTTTGGCATTAGCATCAGTTGCGTTAATATTTTGTAGACAGCTCACGGGGGCATCTTTCACTTACGTAAGGCTGACTTTGCTTCTAGAGGAAGCAAGAGATGATTTGGAGGTATGATTTCAGGGAAGCACTTTCTAAAATTTCCATGCTTTTTCTTAGGGCATGATGCAATGCCTTTTTATTTTTTAATTAATGTGGTACTTAAAAATGAAAAGGCATCCCTACCCTGAGAATACTTTGAGTTGAATGTATTCATTCAAATTAACCTTCATTAAGTACCCAGTAGGGGTGTCAGGAACAATTTTAGGCAATAAACACTTGAGATAGAAAAGACAAAGTCTCCTTTCAGTCTAATAATTCTAATTCAATGTGAGGAGAGGGACCAATTGCTTATATTTTTCTCTCTCCTGTGTAGGAGCCATTCATCACGTGGGGCTACTGAGCACTTGAGATGCAGCTACTTTACGCTTGGATGTACTGGGAATGTAAGTTACACACTAGATTTCAAAGTCTTGTATGAGAAAATAAATATAAAATATCTCATTAATAATTTTTGTAATGATTACATATGGAAATGAGAATATTTTGTTTGTATTGGACTAAATAGAATATATTTTAAAAATAAACTTCATCTGTTTCTTTTAATGTGCCTACTAGAAAATTTAATATCCCACATAAGGCTGATGCTGTCGATCACATGATATTTTTATTGAGCAGCATTGAGCTGGAGTCATTGGGGAGTGTCTTGGAGGATGAGTTAGAAGTTACCATTTGTACGTATTCCATTCCACAAGAATTGGATCATGCCGCTAATAACTGGTTGGTGACCATGTTTTGCCCTTTCAATAATATAAGACATCTTTCCATAGCTGTATGGCACGTTATTCTTTAACTTGGACCTGTGACCAGTGGTGGATTTGAATAGTCTCGGAGTAGGATTAGAACTATGTCTCTGTCTATTTTCTGCTGCTATAACAGAATACTGTAGACTTAGTAATTTATACAGAAATTTATTTTCTTCCAGTTGTGGAGGCTGGGAAGTACAGAGGCAAAGTGGTGGCATCTGGCGAACACTTTCTTTCTGCATCATGCCATGATGGAGGGATCACACAGTGATGGCGCACAGGACCAACAGAGCTGGTTTTTATACCAAAGCCACTTCGCATTAACTAACCCAGTCCTGCAATAAACCTGCATGATTTAATTACTTCTTACATGTTCCACCTCTTCATACTGTCACAATGATGATTAACTTCCAATTTGAATTTTGGAGGGGGCGTGTACACCCTAACAAGCTGTGAGGGTAGAATGCAGAATTGTCACAATTAGAGGGTAAGTAGTAGGACAAATGCTTCATCTGTGAGACGAGCAACCTGAGGACCTCTCTTTGGACTCTTTTTTCTGAGGAGAACCTGTGAGTACTGTCATGTACACTACTCTATGCTAGGCATCTTCTGCACTATCTCAGTAACATCCATGACAAGTGTATGAGGTAGACACTGTGGTTTCTTGCACTGTACCAGTGAGGAATCGCTCTTAAAGGTCACCCAGCTAGTAAATGCAAAGCTGGGACTTAAAACAAATTTACCTGACTTCAGTGCATTTTATTCTTTCTTTTTTTTTTTTTTTTTTTTTTTTTTTTTGGTTGCTATCCGGTACCGGGTAGATTACTTCTTTACTGAAATAATTTTTTCTTTGATTATGAGTTAAGGTTGGAATGCTTTTCATAAGTGTTTTTGTAGTTAATATATCTTCTTTCTTGAATTGTATTTTTTTTTTTTTTT